ATTTTATAATGTTGCTCTCAGTGTCGATAATATCACCCGGTGTATCACTTTTAGGTAAACGTTTAAAAGTCAATGGATCAGTGCGTTTGACAGACTTGACCACGGAATTCTTCTTAGTAAACTTCGAATTGCAGGTTTCTCCTCTTTGTTATTAACATTTTTCAAAAGTTACTTATGTAATAGAACGGAATACGTAGAATATTGTGGTTTCAAGTCTGACGAAATTCATGCAATCTTGGAGATGTCTCAGGGTCCCATCCTAGGGCCCCTTATACGAGTTTAAAAATAGATCTATCAATTAATACATCTAAGTTTTTCTCACAGGCAGCAATAGAGATTTTATCAGGAAATTGCACAAGAATATTCAATTATGTAGTTGTCTAAATCGTTAATGTAAAGAAGAAAAAAGTACTGGCACTAAAACACTACCTTGGGATACACCAATATCAATTACTTGTGTTTCTGATTTTAAGTCAAGAACATCAACATACTGTTTTCTACTGGATAGATAAGATTTTAGCAAATTTTTGCTTTGGCCGCGTATACCATAATTTTCTATATTATCTATTTTTTTTTTTAATTCTGTAAGAATATTCTTTTTATTCTAGATTTAATAATGTCTTTCGTTGTTTTCTATGTCTAGAGGTTATTGTTTCATTCATAGCAAATCCACTTTCTCTTGTTGCCTCTATATTGTAATTTTACATCATTTGACAGCATTTTCTCTCCTTACTTAAAAAACGTAACATAGAATCAAAGAATGTTTTTACAGAATAAAAAAATTATAAATAAAAGAGTCAAGGCCGAAAAACGAAAAGCACATTTTTTGATTTTCTTTTTTTTTGAGTTACTAAAAGACATTTTATGTACTTTTGTGGATCATTAATGAGCTAAAAATATAACAACTTTGTTAAATTTAAACGTATCTTCTATCTCTTAAAATAAGCGAGATGCTCATGGTGGGGGTCCAATTTGAATCAGCCTGTGTATATATATTATATAATTTAAAAGCACTTGTAAGCTCGTATTATTCAAGTTAGAAGACGACATTCCTAGTAATTTATGTATTTATTTCGAATGCAAACCGTAACAAAATGAAGCAGAACGAGGCAACACATTCCGGAACAACATTATGGATTTACGACTTCGTGAGGGAAGACTGTCTGTCCGCGTCTGAGGATCTCTGCTTAGCTATGACGATGTAAATTGACCACCAACTGACTTTTTAAAATAATTTATACAGGTTATCCCACTTCTATAAACTTACAAACTTTATATTTGCAGTTTATCGATTATTACGGCGAAAATAAAATAACTTAAGCATCTATTTTGTTATTCAAGCTAATAATAATTACACTTTTCGTGACCAATTACAGATATTTGTCTTAGCAATAGACGAAGTGTTTACGAAATGCAAGTTGGCATTTGGTAATCATAATAAAATATGTATTAATTTATGCGATGGAAAAAACTAATATAAGCACATGTATTGTTTTATTTGTAACGATGACCTATGACCTCAGCAGGAAGTGTTAAGGCATTTTATCTATAATAATAGACTTAAGTCATCATCAAAAATGTATCAGCCAGGAATGTGCAGATATATGAAATTGCAATGCTGCATTTCATTTATACCTAACAATTAGATTTTTACTACACATTACAAGAGAAATTTCATACCGCTTCAGTTCACTTCTTCTTTACATTCGAAATAAACGTTTTACTTTAAATAAAGACCTGCCAATCAGAATTAGAGTAGTGAGAGATTTTTGCGATTACCTTGTTTTTCCATAATACCGCCCCCATAGTTTTTCTTTTTTACTATAAACGCCATTGCTTTTTATTTAATATGACATAACGTCACCAAAATATCCAATACGCATACTTTTCCCAAATCCGATATGTTTTTCTTTAATATCGCATAATATCACTTCTTGTACATTCTTCGTCCATTGCCGATAAGTTCTTGTAGCTGCCTCTGAGTGCTGCGGAAAACCCTCTGATCATAGACTGCCGTCGAAGGCTTCTTCTAGAGACTCTAATCATTGCCGATAACTTCTTGTTGCAGCCACTGGGTGCTACTGAAGGCTCTCTGATCATTGACTGCCGTCGAAGACTTCCTACTCTAGAGCCTCTGGTCACCGTCTTCACCCACAAAAGGTGTTCAGCTACAAGACCCTTTCACTAATAATGCTGTATCCCTATGCTTACTAGTCTCTCCCGATGGGCCCATGCCATCCAAATCACTTCCTGTCCAGATACGGCTTGACATATCTACTCATATAAAAATTGTGTTTTCGTTATCCTTTTGAATTTACTGATTGCTTCATTATCATTGATAATATTTTAAAAATGATTTATTTCATCTTGGATTGGCTCAGTGGTGTGAGAGGCAATGGCGGACCGCACAGTGTACGGAAACGCCGAAAAGCTGGCCAAAATATAAAGGCATTGAGCTATTTTACTGAAATTGTGTCGATGATCAAGAATCCGAAGTTGAATTTTGAAAAAAACAAAATGGCGGCCATGAAATCCTCCCAAAACATAACAAAACGATCGCCAATTATCGTTGCATTTTTACAAAACTACAGTTTTTTTGGGTCGCTGATTGAATCCCATATAGAATTTCAAAATAATTACGGTCAAAAATATATACATAGTTCAAAAATTATTATTGAATTGAAGCGAATTCATGTGTTTCATTTGTTTCGGGAAAATTAGGATCTGGGGAATGGAATAAAAATGTGTAATGACTTTGAACGCATGAGTTGAGAACGCATGACGTTCTCATTTCATGAGAACGAATTCAAAAGGGGCCCACACTTTATGGTGCACGAATGTGCATGCATCCGTGCATTCACGCACAATTTGGTCAATATCTCGCAAAGATGCAAAAAGATGCAGCTAATTTTTTATACACTTTCGAAAAAAATGTTCATTGAACACATTCCAATAAGTTTCAAGACCAACCATCACCAACCGCGTAACTTATGGCTTTTTTTGTTGAGTTTATGAATCGTTGCATGTACAAAAATGCACTCCACTTCGATAATTATTTACTAATTACCATATAAATAAACTGATCTGATACTGAGATATTTTAATTGTACTTACTTTCTCTGATGCAGAATCCATTTTTATGATACAGAAAACTGCACTTTGAGAATTTTTACGCTGCAGACAAAATTTATCGATTTTTGAAGCGTTGCGAGCTGCCGAAGTGACGCGCTGCACGGTCGCACAAAAGTAAGTAATTTCCTCGCTCAGGTAGTAAACCCGGACCGGTATTAACGGTCGTTTCTACTATGCTAGGGGTACCACTACAACGATTTAAAACGTTTCCGGTTCAAAAAAAATCTTCATTTTTTATATTTTTTTATTTTGGGACAGCTTTTTGGCGTTTCCGTCCACTGTGGACCGGACCAAATCGATCAATATGGTGGATGATATTCTTGGCTGGTATAAAAATTCACCTATTGGAATAAATCACATTTCAAAATAAATGCAAGAAACAACAAAAATTTACACTCACAAATACATCTCACTTATGTTTCACACCCGTTGTATAATGATAACTTCGTCAAAATGAATTACGAGAAGAAAAATCGTTACTTGTTGAATTAGTAAGTATAGCAGTGGTCTAATGATCTTTAAATTACCTCTTGTAGTCTTTGCAAAATATCCAGATTATTCACAAAAACCGCTGCCAATTACTTGGGGATCAGAACTTTCTCACTGTAGTAAAACTCGATGTGTGGTGGAATTTGTAATAAAAGTAATTTTTGACGTTTCAAAAAAGTCACATTAGTGGAATATCACTAATATTTTTTTAGCCATTTCAACTTTTAAGAAGTGTCAATCAAAATTCAAATTTTATGGTGTTGCCAAAATGTTTACAAAATTTTAATATAGCTTTATTTAAACATTTGAACACAATATTATAATGGGTTTGTATAACAGATCTGATTCATAATTTTTCATCACGAATAAATTTTTTTGTAGTTAGAAATAGAAATGTTGGGGCCCGATAGACCCCGTTCCAGAGGACCGATTTTGTTTATCAACGAACTCAATCTCTTCCTTGACCTCTAGAATGTGTGTACCAAATTTGAAAGATTTATTTCAAAAATTGTAGCTGCTATCGCGAACCACACAGACACACACACACACACACAAACACAGACACACAGACAGAAAAATTTTTCTGTCTGAAATTTTGTGTATCGTCATAATTCGCCGAAATTCGTTCAGAAATGCAATAACAATTTTCAAAATTTTTTTCACGAATACATACCTTCCTCACTTCGACGGGTGAGGAAGTAATTATAACTTGCAGATTTTAGTCTAATACGTAAAGAGTAATGGGTACCTTTCCGTTGTTGTTTCTTTATTAAATTTTATGGTAGTTTTGAAGCTCGCTTTTTAAAAATTACTCAATTTATATACTTACTTATAAAGTTGTAAATATAATACACAATCTTGATTCAAGTACTCGTATAATTATTTTGCCACAAATTTTACCCTGGTTTTTTGTGTGCTCGAAATATTTGATCCGCTCTGCTCAATAAAAATTTAATATAACATCGTCCACACAGAGTTATCACCATTGCTCTTCCAGATAAACCTGATGGAATTAAGAAGTGGACCAACTTAGACCTATCCTCTGGAATGTTTCGTTGGCTTGGTTATCTATACCTATTCGGGTTTCATGATCTAGATATTTATGTTGTTTGTTCAATCTGGTTATCATCTCAAGAAATGTGACAGCGCAAAATTTTTCATCACTTAGATTTGGAGGTGTTTATATTTAGGCCAAATTGTTGAGAAGCAGAGTGCAAACGGAGTTCTTCCATTAGTACTATGTCGTTTGAGAATCTTAGATGATTTAAATTTCCTCCGTTGATATTTATACCCATATCACCCCAGTCTACTTGTTTGATCATATACTATAACAATGTGTTACACAGTTTTGGTGAAATCGTAGAAATTTGTAGAAAGTAGCTTCGTGGTAGAGTGGTAAGAACACTTGCCTCTTATTCTTGAGTCCCGGGTTCGATTCCCGGAGGACGAGAATTTTTTTCTGAATAAGAGATTAATCCTAGCATACTCGGTTATTGGGTTTATTGGGTGCACTCTCCACCATAAAGTACCTTCAGGGATACACAAGAGGTTATATTACCTGTTTTTAACTAATTAGTGTGATTGTTTTGACGATAAATTTCTGGTGTTTTCATTATTGAGACACTTTGCAGATAAGTTAGTTATTATTTACCAGAAAAAATGTACTCCACCATGACTAATCAATATTCCTTGAACGCTACAGAATTTATGTAATCAGGTAGTTCACACTCTACAACGGCCATCGAAATTAACGGGATAGGCAACACAAATCCAAATATTTATTATTGTGAAATTGCAATCTGCGGTTTCACCTTGAGCAAATTGCAGCGTGAATTTAAAAGAATGAACTTCCGTCTGTAATTCAGCAAATTTATCTCTCCTAGGAATACTGGATACATGAATTTTAAACCATAAAAAAAATCATGTTTATTTTTTTTAAATTATTGTTAAGAGGTAAAAGGGATTTGTCGGTTATCTACAAGATTCTATTAAACAGCACATTAAGCAAAAAACTTTCTGTACACGATTACACTCGAGATTATTATAAGCTTCAACTATAAATTAAATGTATTACTTATAAACAAATCATAAATCTGTTGTGAAATTACTTTGGTCTTACTGTGACAGTAATTATTTTATTTTTATTCAAACACAATAAATAAGAGAAAATACTCTAGATTATCTTCATATCCATCCCAGTATACTCAGACTCTGAATATATATACGTAATATAAGTGGAAGAGCGGACGGACGAAGAAACCATATAGCACACGGATGTTTTAAGGACGTTCTTAAAATGTCCGTTAATGGACTTTAGGACATCCCTCTGTTAGGACCCTTGGGAATAGGATGGCCGTTTTTAATATGTGCAGTTTCAACCAAATTGGATGTCTTTAGGATATCCAAAAAAGCCTATAATAAATTTACAAGTAGATACTGTTGTGGACCTTTATTATTACTCTATATGCTTCTTTCTTACCTAATTTATTATCAACTCCCTCTTTAATCTAGTTAAAAAATTTAAGGACACTGGTTAAAACAAATCATTGAAAAATACATACATTCTAAATCGATAAAATTTAGTTACAACAAGGCACGGAAGCATATTTATTTGTAGTGTAATTAGTACATCCACTGGACGCCCGTATGCTATGTTCCTTGACGTAAAACGAATGTCCATCGCAACGTCTGGTGCTATATCAGGAGGGATCCAAGGGAAAAAGAAGAAGGTGCCGCAAATTTTCCATGAGAAGAAGAAGAAAACAAAAGCGTTGAGGTGGGTTAACTTGGGTTTGACTATAAAGAATTTTTAGGTTATACTTCATGGGTTAAAAAAAAACATTTTTGACTACTATTTTTTAAAATTCTTGAGAGAATGTTATTTTCTTGAATGAGAAAGAATTCTTTCAGCTATTGCGATAACATTTTTGGTCGTCAGTAGTTAAGAGGGCTAACTCGAACCAGTGTTTGTAAGGTGATTTTTCAACATTTATTGATTCTATACGGCTTGGTCAAATTACACCAAATTTGGAGGATCAGTAAGTTGAAAGTGTACTAGAGGGTACATGTATATCTATTTTAATTAGTTTTCACTTTATGTAGGGAAACTTTATACTGTAAATAAAGAGAAATTTGAACGTGATTAGCTCCTGAATTAGATAACAATCGGTAAAATTCGAGATAAAATTGGATACTTGACTTATAGAATGATCTTTAGTTTAATTACATGGATCAAAGTTTAAAACATTTTATTCCGTACTATTTGGTTAATAATGGTAATTTTCGAAATAATATCTTTGTTAATAAAAAGCAACCTGTAACTTTGGGGAATCGTACCTTAACTGAAGTCGGTGAAGAAAACGTGCCAGTGAAGGTAAAAGTCAAGAGAAAATCATTATTTTCGTGCATGATAAAAAATCTTTCTAGCGAGTGACACAACAATCCGAAGGCTTTTTCCCGACTTCAGGCCCGTTAAAATCTAATTATCCAGTTGCAAAGTCCAAATTTTTTTCAAGACACATTTTAAAAAAATTGGGAGTTAACCAACCTCCTTTCCAATATTTTTGTCTCTTGTAGAATTTTGTTCTGCCATGATATCCATATGCCATATAAAAAACATATTTCCAATGATGTATCATACAAGGAAAACATACAAAACGTAGCGTAGTGATGCAGACTCTATATTTTTTTGATTTCTAAGAAAAGCTTGGATCATTTTGAAATGATCACACTGTACATAACTCTTTTATTTCAAGCACGATCAAACAATTGTATTGCTGTTGGTGTAGGACTATGTAGATGTATTTAAACGATTAGTGATTAAAAATAAGTGATTGTGGAATATAACTGATATAAAAATAAACATATTGGAAATAGCTACTCCAAACATCCCTTCTAACATTAAACTGTCGTGTGGAGACAAAGAACGATCCAGGCTCCCGATAAATCAAACATCAAACGATCGATTAGGCAAGAGGCGGGCAATAAGTTAGTCGACCTTTTCTATCTAGCTCTGTGTATGTATTTTTGCGGGTAGAATGTGGCATTCCTTCGGTTTCACTCGCGTTCTTCAAAGCACCGCCTTGGGAGCAGCTTACGAATGCAACTGCGTCGAGCAAAGGCCACACGACCAAGATTAATACCTCGCCAAGAACATTATGAGTTAATTAATTGGTCTGCAATAAAGATTGAGCCGCGCGCGCTCTTCTGTTCCTACTCGCCAGTGGCGGATAGACGAATTTGCAGGATTTCACTTGAGAAACGAGTAGTAACAGGTCAACGCTAACTTCGGAACTTGGGTAAACGAAATGATAACAATTTTTTTTATCTTTTATCTGTCACACAGATTTTTTTTTTAATTTTCTTTCACTGGATGCCTGTAAATAGGAAAATTATGTAACTATTCCAGAGACATACCTACATTCAATGCGAAAGCAATGACAAAATGTTCGTTTGAAATAAAGAGCGTTATTAATTAAAATATTGTCCATAATTACATCAGTATTTACCAAAAAATACAAAATATTTACACACTAATTCATTCATACTTATTAAATCGTAAAATAATTGTAAATATTTATACTCAGTTCTCGAATGATTATAATTACTTACGAGGGCCGCAGGGATCAGTGCTAGGGCCCTTACCTTTTATACTATATGTTAACGGTCTACTATATCAGATAAAATAGTGACACATTGACCATGTTCATAGACGATAGCACCATAATATTGACAGGTCCAATATAGATATGTTATTAATTAAAATATTGCCCATAATTACCAGTACATCAGTATTTACGAAAAAATACAAAATATTAACACACTAATTGATTCGTATTCATTAAATCGTAAAATAATTGTAAACATTTGTAGTCAATTCTCAAATGATTATAGTATACTTATGAGGGTACCTCAAGGATGAGCGCTAAGGCCTTGCTTTTTGTACTGTATGTAAACGGTCTGCTATATCAGATAAAAAGTGACATAGTGACCATGTTTGCAGACGATAGCACCATGATATTGACAGGTCCAATATAGATACTTTAACTAAAAAAGTTACAGATGTAATAGGTGAAATACATCCAAAACAACCTATTTCAATATATCAGATTCATTGAATTAAAACCAAAAAACAAAATCTCACGTATCATATAATAACTACAAGTATACAAGTAAAGAGAAAGATGATAAAATCTTAGACACTTTTGATGGCATCTTTTTTTACGAACTATCTCAATGAAATTATTCCACTGATTTTGACTAAGTTAATATCACAGAAATTAAACAACCCCCGATTCCAAAGCCAAAGCTGTCTTAGAAAAACGTGAACATACACTGTTTCCACCAACACTATCAGTGCCGCTGGCGAGATTTGAGCCCGCAGCTACTACAGATAGATTTCTAGTCACGATTGCCACTATGAGACCATTATACACGCAAGAGTCCTAAGAAAGCATGTAAAAACCCTAAGGTTCCAGTCTCAGTAATATTAAAAATTAATTACGAATGAAGGGTAAAAATATTTTTGAAAATACTTCATTTTAAACATTGACTACAACACAGAGGCAACCAGTACAGTAGACAGTATTTACCTTGTAAACTTCTTTTTACATAACAGCTCCTCCCTCTTTCACCGCCTTTGCTTGTCTCCGCCAATCAACGTCTGGTGTTTTTTCGACGACACATGTTTTGTCACATCAGATTTATTAATAATTGGACTGGATTTAAGTGACAATCTCACACTTTACATAATAACACACAACATCACTTTCTGAGGACGCGAATTACCTCGCCATTTTTACGTCCACTAATACACTACATTAGACAGGAAATATCAAATAAATAAAAAAATGTCATTATACTCTACGTACACACAACAGATTGCTAGTCAGATTGTTTTCGAACCTTCATAAAAAATACTTAGAAAATACTTAATTTGTTTTTTAATATTTTGATTGCGATTCAGAACAAAATGTCGTCATTCCAAATATTTTAACAAAAAGTCAATAATGTAAAGTTAGTTTTAATTCCACAAATTCTGGGTTAACTCAAAGATTTACCCTAGTCAAACAAGAGCTTTTTCAGACAACATAAAGAGACTACAACGGGTAAGTCTTTATTATCTTTTTGGCACATCCAGTTTTTTCAAGAAGTTTCGATACAGAAAAAAAATAATTTATGTATTTTTCATATAATTTTGTTAAGACGTGAGGGAATGACTTCGCTCCGCTCCACTTACGGATACAGTATAATTATCAAGAAATCTGAATAAAAAAAGACTATTCTATCGACTGATACTAAGGCTCCTTCTTCTTATATGCATACCCTATTAAGAAAGTCAATAATCAATATAAAATCTTCTCTATGTTAATTTCATGCCTTATTAATGTTCTTTTTAACGGAAGAATAGTTATTTTCCTAAACAAATTTAACTTGAAATAGAATAGAAACTCAT